TATTTGGATCCAAATTGGAATTTAATTTTCCGAATTTGGAACTTCATACTTTTCCAGTAAAATTGTATGTCGGTTGGCACATTTTAATGATGATTTATTAAGTTCCGACTATCTTGATATATAGTTAAACCCAATTGAATCCACTAATCCACCCTCCAAACTTTATTCAAGGTGGGCCGAATCTGAAATACTCTTTGGAATCGCCGGCCAATACTCTTTAATGATGGATAGCAAGTAAAAGAAATTTTAGAAAGATTGAATAATTGTATCGAGGTGAAAACATCTGTAGGTACCACCTACAAGAAAATGTATGGCTGTATAGTAATTTTGTGTAGTAAACGAACGAAACAAACGCAAGTTGCTATCATCTAATCTCAGAAACAACTTGACTGATTTCAATAAAAGTTATTAAATTTCTTAAGACTCGGAGGTTAAATTACTTCTGTTATAAAGTGTTGCTATTGGGTGGCTTCTTTTTTCAAGCGTCGCATGTCAAATAAATCAATGTATATCCGCATACATGCTTATTGTAAATTTAAATTACAGATTGTATGTTTTTAAAATAAAGTTAAAAAAAAAAAAAAAAAGACTTGGAGGTTGTTTTTAGATGTTTGTTTGAACCACACTAAATCTGTAGGGTGGCTCACGCCTCGTGTATGACTCCTCCCTTGTTACAATAAACAACAACATTACAATCATTATGATAACAGATAGAACAATCAACAAAGTAGATATAATAATAGTAATAATGAAAATAATAATAATAGTAATAATAGAAGTAATTGTAAACAATAATTACATTACAATAAAATATAGAGTAATTATGAGTTTAGGATTAAAGAATTACAACACAATTTGAACGAGTATAAATTTGGTGAAATGAACTATCAATTTATAATTTATTAACGGTTTCCATTACTCAGGGAGTGATTTTTGCATAGTAGGTAATTTGTAGACTTAAACGAAAAGTCAGATCTGATGATGATTTTAGTACAGGACGAATAACACTAATTATCCATGCATCGGGAAAAGTACCAATAGATAGCGATAGGTTAAATATTTTTATATTTAATAAGGGCGTAGAAAAAAACATAAGTACAGTTATTGAAAATATACTTGAAATTAAATCAGGTCTTGGGCATGAGCTAGTATGTTAGTGAATTAAGTTAATTAATAATATCAAGTAGGTCTATTGTACACGAGTGCAAAGGAGATTGGAGTACCTACTTTTAGTTCTTTCTGCTGGTCATAATTTAAATTAATTAAATTATACACATTAATAATAACAATAAAAACATTGAAATAAATGTAACCTTAAAATAATATAGTTATAATATAGCCATATAGGTAGTACAACTGTAACAATAAACCGTAGATCATTATGGTTGGTACCTACTAAAATTATGAAAATTAGTAGTTAAGTTAAGAAAAAAGACAAAAAATGTATAGAATTGTATATTGAAATGAAAATAGAATATGTACGATTTGTAATAGTTAAACAGTACCTGTACAAATACATTTTAATTATATTATTATGTTTCTTATAAGACAGACATACTCCGTACACTATGAATGAAAACCAATAGTGAAAAAATACTTTCATAATTACCTATTAGCAACATAATTGATTATTAGATGAGGTTATGTTTTTCAAAAAAATAAATAGAGTGCCATTTATTTAAGTTAATATTCAATCCATAAGAATGACATCAATCGTTAGTAGTATCACTCAGTGGCGTAGCCAGGATTATGAAATGGGGGGTGTTTAAGTATAGATTAAAACCAAGTTTTTACAGTTTTCGTATATAAATACATTTAGGGTTCGGGACTTGACTTTGTTGGCTGTTGCACTAAATATTATCGAAATATGATGCAGTCAAAGTCGTCAAAATATTCTTAAATATATACAGCTACATTTTTATATTATTTTTGAAAAATTCATAAAACATACTACAATTTTGGTAATAAAAAACTAAAAAATAAGTAGGTATATAAATAATTTATACACGGGCTTACTAATTTTAATATAGGTAGGTACCCATATTGATTAATGTGATGGACGGACTACACTATTGTATGTTTTGGACATTTTTAAGCTATTGTGAAATAAAACAACTTGATTTTTAAAAATACTGGAATAAAATACTAGGTTAATAAATATGTAATAAAGAATAACGTGATATGCGAACACCGTGATAAACGAACACGTATTATCTACTGATTTTCATTTTTTCGTACAATCTAGAATGTAGATGTCAATTATAGTTTTAACACAGTCTTGTCACAAAGAGACTTATAAATTCTTACATACCATAACTATGCGAAAATAGGGCAAACCGTATAGCCAAGCTCCACCAACAACTTTAACAGCCCTCCCAATCATTTACTAATTTTTTTTTAATTCAATTTTATAATAGTATGGTTTTAGGCTTCGGCCTCCCTAAATCTCAAAATTAGAGCCTGTTGTACCTAACCAAACATAATATTTTTAAAGATGTTTTTCAATGTTATCCAAATATGATTTTTCCTGACAATTGTATGTACCTACATTTAAGTTAGAAAAATGCAAAATATGCATAAATAATATGCGAAAAATCGCTCAAATGTACACTTTTCCGAAAATATGCAAATTCAAACTTTGTTTGATTAGACATTTAAAATATTTCATAAGACAAATTTATAACTTATCTAAAATAATGCGGGCAGTCCCAAACCCTATAAACAATATTTTTATTAGGGAGGAAAATGTCAATGGGGGGTGTTTAAACACCCAAACCCCCTCCCCCTGGCTACGCCACTGGTATCACTAGGTGTCCAAATTACTTTGTAAGAGTAAATATTGCGTTTTCTTAAATATTGCTTAGTTTTAAATTGTGTTGCATCATTAGGAAAGAGCAAAATATAAAAATAATTGAAAGATAAAACAATATCATTAATAAATTAATTAAAGACAAAACGTGAGATCTGGTCACTTTTGGGGACACCCGATACAACGAAATACTATCAGAAATAAAATTGTTATATTTAACAAACTGTGATCTACTAATTAAAATGAGTGTAATCAAGATATAAGAGAATAAGCAAAGTCAATTTTTTCGAGTTTCAAAATTAAAAGCCAGTGGTAAATTCGATCAAACGACTTTTCAAAATCAGCATTAGTCTCTTGATTATTTGAATATTAATTTAAATGTAAATTTTATAATTGCTCACTGATCAAGTTGGTAATTATAGGATTCTTTTACAAAATTAATACTGCTGTTATAATACCAATACAATATGGTATTATTAAAAAGAGAAGAAATAGATTGAAATTAGTAATTTTAAAGATATTGTTATGAATATAGGACGATAGTTATAAACTATAGATTTAATATTAACTTATTTTAGATTCTGAGTGAAACGATGAATGTATTGATTTTACAATGATGTGTGTTTTTTTATTTTTTTTATTTTTGTGTCTGTGTACACGATAAGTAGTCGAAATAATGCTTCGATTTTCGACTTCAGTATCTTTTTCGATTGGAACGTGAATATCGTTGGTGCATTGGGGAGGTCAAAATTTAAAATTCCCAATAGTTTTCACAAGCGCCGGGAAAAAACAACATAAAAATTAAGGAAAAACGGGAATTTTTACGCAAATACGGTTTTTGACAAAATCGAATTTGGTTTTTGGTGTAACTTTAAAACAAATGACCGTAGATACATGAAATTTTCACTGGTTGTTTATATTTGCATTTTCTAATATTGGATATTCACTTGATTTCTCATGTAATTGTGTTACTGTTGTAATTCAAAAACGAATAACTATAGATACATGAAAATTTCACTGAATGTTCAGATTAGCATTTCCTATACACTGTACAATTTTGAAAATATTTCGACTCTTTTTGAGCTGTTTACGGACATTTTCAGTTTTAAATTTTTTTAGTTTTTTTTTTCTATAAATATCAATAAAGTTTTATCTGTTGGGCCAAAAAGTGTAAAAATTTAATACAAGGTTTCTGATATATTGTTACAGTAGCAATTGAAAACTATTAAAAATACATACTCACAATTTTTTTTTATAAGCATTTAAACATCGAATTTTGACAAAATTTATCAAAATCTCGAAAATTATCAATCATTGTAATTAATAAATTATAAAATGTTCAGTTTTTATAGCTAAAGATTGCAAATTTAAAACAAAGGTTCTCATAAATAGTTCATACTATAACCAAAAAATCTAAAAAATATATGAACACAGTTATTTTTTACAGACATTTTAAATTCAAATTTGGACGAAATTACATATTAAAATCAATATTAACGATCTTTGTTTTTGTTGTAATTTAAAAATATTATTCGGGGATATATGAAACTGAATAATCAAAATGACCTATCCATACAATCTACCTTAGTATAAAGAATAAGAAGTATGCTCATGATAAGACTGTGCATATTTTAAGGAATTTATTCATAAATTCCATATAATTTAATACCATAGAAAAGTATATAATATGTCTTATACCTAGACTGACATACCGTCTCCGCTCAGAATCGTTTTTCTTATACAATGATATTATATCATTGCATTCAAATTTAATAGCATCCATTATACAGTGACCCACTTGTAACCTATAGTACAGGAGAGCGACATCCACTTACCCACCTTTTTTAATAACATTTTTAAATATGCAGATAACATTTTATAATATTTTTTAATATTTGTGGGATTTTTTCATCCCATCGATTGGTTTTTTAACTATGGATTTGATTTATGTTCTTGTATGTATTGATACAGCATATTTTGTCCTTATATATTTTTTCCCAAATCAATTTATTACATATTATCCAGTTGAGGTCTTAAGAGACATAGATAATCGCTATGTTATGCAGTATGTGGAAATGTGGTATGAATTAATCAAATAATGATAACAATGTAGGTAAAACATACCGTATAGAAGGCAATTCTCTCTTTTTTTTTCTTTTTCCATACTCATTTGGTAAATGACGAAGATGCACTACACGAACTGGTGGTACAAGTAGCACTTGACGGAGTAGTTGCGGGTGCTTCGGAGGCTGGGCAGTGTGTTGTACAGGAGCAGCGTGAGCGCCAGGCACACGGCAGACACCACGTAACTTGCCCGAAAGAAAATGGGAATCGAGCTGGCACGTGCACGTTCGACCATAAACACGGTGTCAGAGTTGCATATGTACGCCACTATGGTGTCGGTCACCTGTGAAGATACATTCGGTAAGTTCCTACACTAGAGTTGTAGGGGGTACAAAAAATTACATACGTTAATTTCCTACACGATAGGTACATAATATTATGTAAGTCCCAACACGGTATAAAACAGGTGGGTTTTTTAATAATTCATACACGGCTGAAAAAGGTTCATATAGGTATGTAAGTTTTTGATGGAATTTGATTCAGAGATAGATTGGGCCGTGGAGGGGATAAAACAACAGGGGTTTTGAGATAAACCATGTAAATTGTGGTTTATTTTAGTACAGAATGTCTAAAGATCGAACCACGGCGGTTTCGGTGCAACAATTTCTTGCATTGATTTCACATCGTTATTTCTCTTATTTTATTTTAATAATCATCCATTTATTCGTAAATATTCGAAAATTCATATATACATATTCAATTCTTATCGAGGGTTTGTAACTACTAACATAATGTGTCCGTGTAAGAACTAACGTGGGTGTGTAATTGTTTACCTGCTACTCTCGTGTAATAACTTACTATTCCCTTTGAATACCCCACGCAGTACTCCATGTACGGTACGATGTGTTGTTCGTAGGTTAGGTAAAGGCTGCCATCCTCGGTCAACTGGAACCCGTATTCCAGCACGTCTCTGTGTGAACATTTGAATTCGACATGGTACGGCAGCACCGTTTTGATCGACCGGCCCTGCAATTGACGGCCGTCCTCGTCTATTTCATAGGCGAACATCCTGAAAGGCTTCTCGTTCAGATCGCACTCTGGAACACTGCATGATATATTATAGTCGTTAGTGTAACTAGGTGGAGAGAAATCTCCAGTGCAAATTAACGTTTATTGCTAATGGTATTTATAATGACAATGGTGATGGCAATTTCTATTTTTCTTTTTACAACCGAACCAAACACCCGACTACGAAAAAATTAATTGAAACTATAATTATTACAGAACAGTATACTGTCAAGGAAAAAGAACTAGCTAAAATCAAGAAGAAATTATAACCAGTAATGGAGAATACTATATTAAAAGAATCTCAGGGTACTATATTATGTAGTTTTCTATCTCTCTCTGAACTCTTACCCACCTACGCACAGCATAGCTATTTTTTATTATTAATAAATAAGCTGATATTAGCTGATATCCTTTTGTACAATATTATACAGTCTTAAAGATAAGTACCTAATCATAATTAACCGATAACCTTTATATGTTTAGCTTACATAAAATATGATTGCAGTTGGTTTAGTGATGTCGACAAAAAATGTTTTATCAATTATCAAAAAAAACATGTAATTAATTATAGTGTGATATTGTGTAAACTATTTTATTTTTATAAAAAAAAACCTTTGAAAGTCTATGCTTAGAATGTAAGTATATGTGATGATATTATTGTGAATAAAGTAATTTATACATAGCCTATTTACGTGGAACATTGTTTTAAATTTTCAATCCTTAGCTATAAAAGTTGAACATTTTATAAATTTTTAACTACAAAATAATTATTACATTTTAAATTTGATAAATTTTGTCAAAATTCGAACTTCAAATGCATATTTAAAAAGAAATTGTGCCCATGTATTTTTAATATTTATCAACAGCTGTTGTAACACTATATCAGGAGCCTTGCATTCAATTTTCACGCTTTTTTACCCAACAAATAAAACTTAATTTTTTAAAAAAATTAAGTCTTAACATTGGTTTGTGTCTTAACGTACTATTAACTAAATATGCCTTTAAAATTTGTTAAAAGAAAAAAAGGTAAACCACTTTTAATAAACGATGGATATTTGCATTTATATTATAAAAACTAAAAAGGATAATGATAAATTCATTTGGCGTTGTGTCTATTATCAAAAATATAAATGTAGCTCATGCTTTACGTCAACAGCGGATGAAACTGGTATGTGTTATATTTTATTTTAACAATATTTGAATTTAAAATACTTTTTTTTTTTAACAGTATTTATATTTAAAATAATTTTAAAGGGACAATTATGAAAGAGTCAGTTCATTATCATGCACCAGATATTTCAAATGTCCAGGCAAAAATAGTTATAGAAAAGTTGGAAAAAAACGTCTTAATCACAGAATTATCAACAAGAAACATTATTAGTAGAACAATGTCAACAACTAAAGTTCGTGTGGTTGGCCAGTTACCAAGTATAACTTGGATGTCTCGTACAATCCAAAGAGTGAGAACAAAAAATGAAAAACCACCTGAAAACCCACTGACCATTCATGATTTCGTATTACGTGATGAGTATAAGAACATAAACGGTAATAATTTTTTAATATATTATAATAAAAAAGGTGCTCTGCTGTACAGTAGGTTACAAGTGGGACACTGCATAATGGATAGTATTAAATTTGAATTCAATGATATAATATAATTGTATAAGAAAAACGATTCTGAGACGGTATGTCAGTCTAGGTATAAGACATACTATATACCTACTTATCTATCGTATTAAAAAAAATTTACCTATAATAAATTCCAAATTAATCATATCACAAAATCCATTAGGTACTTATAATGCGTTATACGTCAACAACAAACCCTGATACTATCATAGTCTTTACTACATAGATATATAATAGTGTACTTAGAAGTATCAAGTACCCACGAATAAAATTACACAATCACAACAAAATAACTAAAATAGTTATTCTAGGTTTTTTTTTATGTAATTTTTTCCAAAATTGAACTTAAAATGACTATAAAAATAAACAGTGCTTATATATTTTTTAGAATTTTTGGTAACAGAATTAAATACTTACGTGGAATCTTATTTTAAATTTTCAATCCTTAGACATAAAAGTTGAACATTTTATACATTTTTAACTACAAAATAATAATTATTACATTTTAAATTTAATAAATGTTGTCAAAATTAGAACATCAAATGCATATTTAAAAAGAAATTGTGCCCATGTAATTTTAATATTTATCAACAGGTGTTGTAACACTATATCAGGAGCCTTGCATTCAATTTTCCCGCCTTTTTACCCAACAAATAAAACTTAATTGATATTTATAGAAAAAAAAACTAAAAAAAATGAAAACTGACCATGTCCGTAAACAATTCAAAAAGAGTCAAATTATTTTCAAAATTTTATCGTGTATAGAAAATGCTAATATAAACATTCAATGAAATTTTCAAGTATCTAGCTTACAGTCAATGGTTTTTTAATTACAACAAAATAACAAAATCGTTACATGAGAGATCGAGTGAATATCAAATGTTGTATAAATATGAATTTCAAACGCACATAAAAATGTAATTAGAATTTCTTCTAAAATATTATATATATATTCTTTTATTTTTGATAAATATAGACAAACTTATGAGGAATCTGGTATTTCGTTTTAAAATATTAGATTTTAAAAGAAAAATTTTTATAAATTTCTAACTCAAAATAAGTTGCAAAGATTTTCGTCATTTTTACGTATTTTGTCAAAATTTGAACTTTAAATGCTTATAAAAAAAATTGTGACTAAGGATTTTTAATATTTTTTTACTGCTCTTGTAACAATATACTAGGAGCCTTCTATTATATTTTCAAGCTTTCGCAACCAACAAATAAAATTTTATTGATATTTTTAGAAAAAAAAACTTTAAAAAAAATGGAAAATGAAAATGTGCCTCAACAGTTCAAAATAAATCAAAACATTTAGAAAATATTATTGTGTATAGAGAATGCTAATATAAACTTTCGGTCAACATTTCATGTACCTACGGTCATTTTTTTAAGAGTTGCACAAAAACCAAAATCGATTTTTTCGAAAACAGATTTTAGTGTAAAAATTCCTGTTTTTTCTTAATTTTTATTTTGTTTTTCACGCCGCTTTTGAAAACTACTTTTTACTTTTGACCCAACAAGTACCAACTATATTCACTTTCCTATCAGAAATGCTACTGTTGAAGAAAATCCAAGCACTTTTATTGTAATAGAACGTGATGACAGACATAAAAAAAAAAAAAAGGTGGGCAAGTGGGTGTCGCTCTGCTATACAGTAGGTTACAAGTGGGTCACTGTATAATGGATGGTATTAAATTTGAATTCAATGATATAATATCATTGTATAAGAAAAACGATTCTGAGCGGTTACGGTATGTCAGTCTATGTATAAGACATATTATATACATATCTATGGTATTAAACAAAAAATTGACCTATAATAGGTACCTATAATAAATTCCAAATTAATCATATCACAATATCCATTAGGTACTGGTAACGCGTTATACATCAACAAAAACCGTGATACTATCATAGATATATAATAGTACACTTTAGAAGTTTCAAGTACCCACGAATAATATTATTCAATCACAACAAAATAACTAAAATCGTAATTCTTGGTTTAAATATGAAATTTTGTCTAAATTTGAAATTAAAATGTCTGTAAAAAATAAGTGTGTTCATATATTTTTTAGATTTTTTGGTTATAGTATGAACTATTTATGAGAACCTTTGTGTTGAATTTGTAATCCTTAGCTATAAAAACTGAACATTTTATAATTTATTAATTCAATGATTGATAATTTTCGAGATTTTGATAAATTTTGTCAAAATTCCAACTTTAAATGCTTATAAAAAAAAATCGTGCCTATGTATTTTTAATATTTTTCAACTGATATTGTAACAATATATCAGGAGCCTTGTATTAAATTTTTACACTTTTTGGCCAAACAGATAAAACTTTATTGATATTTATAGAAAAAAAACTAAAAAAAATTGAAAGCTGTAAATGTCCATAAACAGCTCAAAAAGAGTCAAAATATTTTCAAAATTGTATGGTGTATAGAAAATGCTAATTTAAACATTCAGTGAAATTTTCATGTATCTACAGTTGTTCGTTTTTGAATTGCAACAAAATAAAGAAATCGCTACATGAGTAATCGAGTGAATATCCAATGTTGTAAAAATTTGAATTTCAAACGCTCATAAAAATTTAATTTGACTTTCTTATAGACATTTTTTTTTTGATGAATGTAGAAAATCTTATAAGGAATCTTGTATTACATTTTCATATCTTTTATTAGCCATTGGTTAACAATTAATGTTACCATTAATATTATTCATTAACTAATAATACCAACAATAATTTGTTCGAGCCTATGCATACCTACCGTTTTAAAGGAGAGTTATGCAAACTTATAAATATGATAACATCTGTTATATATATGTTGTAATATAACTTAGGTTAGGTTATGTATAAAAAAAAACACTTAAAAATAACTGTTGTTATATATTATATATATATTTCTACATAATTTATAGATTATTCATTCTGAAAATATATACAAACACAAATTAGAATTAGACAATAAAAAGAACACAAAAATTAGTACACAGGAACTTTTTATAGCTTACCACTAGCTTGCCGTCATCCTATAAACAATGTATTTAAAAACATTTATAACTAACATGTATATTACAAATATATTACAATATTATACTCACTCCTACATTCAATGAGGCCATATCGTGGCCCATAGATGAAAGAGCACTCGAGCCACGGTCATGGCCTGAGTGCTGGTGAGAAGCCTGACCGGCACCATTCCCCAACGACGGGGGGGCCGAGTCCCGCAGCCGCTGTGAGGCCCCGTATCGCCGTCTGGAAGGAGACCGATTTCGCCGCCGGAGGGGGGACCGGTCCCTCTGCACTTTTGGTCTCCTGCCTGCATAATAAATAATATTTTAGATGCATTGCCTACGATCACATA